CGCCAGTGGGCTCCGGTGCCCTCCGCGCGGGGCTTGTACTCACCAGGCCCCTGCGAGGCCGGGCCGCCGGGCACAAGCGGATCCCCGGCTTGCCCCCGCCTCGACGCGCTCGGATTAGCTGCAGCCGGCGCCCAAGGATTTGAATACAGACCGCGTGAGGGAGCGCGCCTAGGCCGACCTCGGAGTGGCGGCCAACATGCTTCGCAAAGGTGAGTTGGAGCCGCAGGGGCAAGTTGTAGTTGGATGCGCACAGGGCAGAGCGGCGAGCTTGGGAGCCGCCCGAGAGCTGCCCGGCGCCAGATCTCCAGCCCGGGAAGCAGCCCCTGGCGGCTGGCGGGCTTTACGGGGACGCACCCGCGAAGGGGTTGCTGCTGGAGCTCAGTTCCCGTCGGTGGCCGGCTGCGAGACACGGGATTTTCTCCATGGATCTAGCAAGCAGGCCGAGAGATCTGGCTTGGCGAGGTCATTTCGAGACCTCAGTGAGCTTCGCGTGATGGATGGGGAGCTGACCTCCTGGGACCTTTGCTTTGCCATTATAAAGTTTTGCACTCGCAGCCTCCATCCCCTGCGCGGGCATACGCCGCTAGCTTCTGCTGCTTTGTAGGGGCCGAGTCCTACCCGCGCTCCAGTTACCGCATGGCCGGGACGTTCACTGCGTGCCCTAGCTTCCCAGGTGGGGCTGGGACGCAGGCACCTTCCCTGCTGCCCTGCTTTGGTCTCCAGGGACGGGCTCTGGGCATTCAGCGGCGGAGGGGAATGGCTAGCGCCTGATGTCCGGTTCCTCAAACTTTCCCTATGTCCCCAGCGGAGGGATGAGAAGGCAAAGGCCGTACCGGCAGCATGCGCTGCCGGTGCCATGCTCAACTTAAGGAGATCTGGCCCTGCGACCACCTCACCACGATCCTCCCAGCAGCCCGGCTCATTGCCGAGAGCTGCAAAGTTGGCGCGGGCGCTGGGGAAGTCCCGCCGCGCCCCCACGTGGCTGCCGCGCGGGGAGCAGTCCCTGAGGCCCAGGGAGGGCAAGTGACCATGCCCTGAGCCCGCGGGCCCCACTACCCGTTGACCCGGCCTCTGTGTCGGCCTCTCTTCCCTCTCAGGTTCGGAAGGGCTGGGGCGCCCCGCCCGGACCTCCTTGTCCCTGGGCCGGGCCGAGCGGCCGGCGAGCCGTGGCGCCCTGCGACAGGCAGCTGGGGCCCTGCGGGAACCAGCTGAGGCGGGAGCTCAGGTAGCGGAGGGGCCTGATCCCAGCGCTCGGCGCTCCAGCCTTAATCCGCCCCTGTTTCCATGGCAACAGACCGAGGTGTCGTAAGCACAGGATTCTGACCTCACAGTAGGATCGGGAAGGAGAAAACGGGCAGGGGGAGGTAGCGGAGGAGGGGCCAGCAAAGCTCCAAGATGGGCGGAGAGGAGCAGATATGGGATTGATGTACGAGACCCCATAAGCAGTGGAGTGAAGAAACCACGCCTTCGTTTGGAACAGTAAAGGCTCTGTGCTGTCCCCACTCGCTCAGGCTCACCCAGGAACCTGGGTTGCCCTGTCGTGTCAATAGTCACAAACTTGTGTATGACTTGTGCCCTCCACGTGGGTCGGTGAAGTGCGGGGTGGGTGTGGGTGTGGGGGGAAGTTGACTGCCGTTCACTGTGGTGTGGCAAAAGTCCCCTGGTTGGAGGAACCACTTCACTAATACACCCCAGTTCCTTATCCCTGCAGAAAGGGAGTAAAGTCCTTTAAGCAACCACCAGTGCTGGCTAGAGCGTCTCTGTACAGAGAGGGTGCTTTTTACAGAGCTGAGCACAGGCCCAAGTCTGAGAAGCTTGGGCCTGGAGCATGCAAATTTGCCCTAGTGGAGAAGGTTTCCCAGGCAGTTTTAAAAGGCCACCATGTCTGGCTGCAGGTCTGTGATGGAGATCGTAGAGAGAAATTGACATCTCTTTTTCCTTTTGGTCTTTTGTCTTTTGGCAGTTTGCAGTTAAAAATGAGCCATAAAGCAGCTCACACATTTGTTTATATGGTTTAGGTGCCCAGAGAGCCTTCAGCAGCCTCTAGGAGCCTTTCTCTCCCATACTTGCTAGCCAGAGGCCAAGCTTCGGGATGAGCCCAGTGCATTCTGGGGGCCTCTCCCTGGGGGTTACTGGCTTACCCTGCTCAAGAAGTGGCCACTGGAGGCCTGACAGTCACGTGCGTTTGCCACTGGGGCTATTTTTCCCTTCCTGAAGGGCTTGGTTGGTGGGAGAGGTTCTTCCAACAGAGATTTCCACTTGGATTGGCCTGAGGGAAACCAAACAGAGAAGCCTTTTGCTGGGCTGGGCTCAGCTCCGCAACCTGGAGCCTGCTACAGGGACATTGTGTGGGCAAAGGACTTATATTTTGGTTCTTTCCTGGGCAATTTTCTCTCTTGGCCCCAGATGTCATCCCTAGGACTTGTCTGTTTTACACATATTCAGGACACTCAGATTCTCTGTGTGGAGTCTAACTGTGTGCCCAAAGCCAAAGGTGTGCCTGAGGCTAATGTCAAGGGAGGTGGCCACTGAAGTTTCTGCTTCTCGAATTGTTCCCAAAGGCTCCAAGCAAAAATGTTATAGGATGGGTTCAGATAGTTGTTGCAGTTTCTCTATTAGATACAGAGCCCTGCGTGGGGTCCTGGCCCTGAGGGAGTTGAATATTTTAATTATGATCTGGAAAACGATTTGAAGGATAAAAAAAAAGGAGCCTTCCCTGGATCCTGGGGGGAGGGGAGAAGAGAAAAAAACGCTACCTTTCTGCAAAGGGTAGGGCCCATCGTCTTGACAATGAGAGCTTTGTGGCGTTAGATGGCTCTGTGGTCTGAAGCCCCAGGTAGAAGGTGAAAGTAGGCATTGGACCATGAGGGCCATCTCTTTAATTTCTGATTGTCCTATTACACTGAGCAAGGTGCTATCCTTTGGCAGGCTATTTTAGAAACTGGGAGTGCTGCCTTCTATCTCTTAACGAACGAGTCTACTGGCCTCAGCTCCACTTTGGTGAACCAGAACATCCCTGAGTCCTCAGTGGATCTTGCTGCTTGCTGATGGTACTGGTAGTTGAAGGCTTCTGCAGCCACCCTGCTGGCTCTTCCATCTCCTAGCCTACCCTGGCAGAACCAGGGATATAAAAAGCAAGACTCTGGTCAGAGATGAGAGACAGGCAGGGCAAAAGAGGCCCCAAGCCACCCAGTACCATCCGAGAAGGAAGGGCAGTCTGCTAAGGATTTTGTTTTGCCAGAAGTGGCCTGCTTAAGGTCAGAATCTATGTTTTTCATTTTTAGAGCTATAAAAACAGAATGCAAATCAACAGCCTCTGGGCTAATACAGAACCTTAAAGTTTTTGTCTTGTTAAGCAAGGAAATAGAGTGCCAAATAGGCTTTGTTAAGTGGCAGTCTAATTAATAATTTAAAATCTTCTATCTGTCTTTCATTAGAATTTATCTGTACATCAACCACAAAATCAGTCAAACACACTCATTTATAAGTTAATGCCATCCCTGAATAATTCAGGAAGAGCTAGATTAAGGCCTGCAACCCAGTAAGTTGCATTTTGTCCTTTTGGTTTCCATAGCCAGAGAGGCTGGCCTGGTGGCTGGATTGGGGGTCTCCCTCGTGGAAAGAAAGGAAAGCAGAGGGAGGAAGGGACCGTGAGATTCTCAGATGCTTGGTTGATCTGAATCCAGAGATTCCCTAGGTGATCAGAGAGTCTCCATGTGACCAGGTGTGAACAGGTTCCATCTCTTGGAACTATTGATGACATGACCCACTTTAACCCCAGTGGAAAGGGGAAGAGAGGAGTGTTGCATGACAGCCAAGACACTCTTT